CACGCACGCACGCACGCACGCACGCACGCACGCACGCACGCACGCACGCACGCACGCACGCACGCACGCACGCACGCACGCACGCACTTCCCTACATTAAAACATGCTAATATAGTCATCTCTATTCATAAAAATAAAGGACTTTTTTGCTTTGAGTTTATTATCTGCCAATAGATTCTGACAAACTGCAACATTCCGTGTCACAGGAGGTGATAGTGATAGACAATACCTGCTGGATACTCATACTGCGATACTGAGACAGGCGGCCTTGGCTCTGGGTAGAACATGTCAAGCTGCTGTGGAGGGTATATCTGGGGTCCCCTGGGGACCAAAGGCATCTGTTTTGTCATGGGGTGGTCACGTATCCTGGCATGGGATATTGTATGAGGAGTCCCGACCATCGCAGATTTGGGAACGGTGTCCAGCCTGCATAATGACAAAGAGCAGTCTCTTTAAAAAGACACAAAGTTTTCAGGGCTTCATCTTATTAGAGATTCTCATTAGATGTGTAGTACAATTCAGAAAGAGTTTTGCAAAATGCAATGATCTGACTGGATGGCATTGAGGCTCAGGAGGTAATGCTCTTTTCTCAGACCCCCTCGTCATGGGTTTGATTCTCGATTAGTTTGTATATGTGTAATTTGTAAGGTCTCCCTGTGATGTTCAGGCTTCCTCCAGCTGCAGTTCTCTCCCACACTAGGGATGGGAGGGGAAAAAACCTGATTCCTTACCACGATACTTCAAGGTCTCTTTTTAAATTTTTATAATCAAGAGTTGAATATCAGCTTTTAAATATCAACTGAGGTTACTGTAATCCAGTTGGTCAGCTTTGTGACTTCTAATATATTTGCCTAGCTGCAAACAGTCCAGTTTTGTTAAGGGATTGACATGCATAAGTGTGGTATAGCACTATTGTGTATGAGCAGACGTGTGCAGAAGAGTCGTCACGATTACTCAATAAAACTCAATTTACCTAATTATTAAAAAACATGGATTAAAATTTTCCTTCTGGATTACTCAACAATATGGCAGAAGGAAGATGGGACATAGCAGATCAGGGTCCAAATAAAGGGCAAAAACCGACATGGACGAAATTCACATTAAGAGTGAATGAAAATCTGTCATCTGTCAGTATTGCGAAGCATACTGTAACATATCACTACAGCATGCAAATACATCTTAGAAGACATTCAGGTTTGATGGACCCAATAATGCGAGGTTAGCCATAGATATGTGCCATTTAGCCTCTTGGAGTAGCCTAGCCTATCTTTATCATCACTTTGACTTAAATCATTTCACGTAATTTATTTTCTGTCTGATTATTTTATGTCAAAATAATCGCTGCTAAAACTAAGGTTACAACCCTGTCACTTAGCCACATCATCTTACATAAAACGGTACATAACAATATATATTTTTTGTGAGCGTATTGTGTGTTTTTCAGCAGGGTTGAACAATACTGGAAAAAGTTCACATTGAAATATTAAAGCTTTTGCGATATTTAAGTGCTTAAAATTAACTATATAGCCAAATAGAACTTATCTACCAACAAAGTCTGTCAAATAAGTTGGTGATATTGCCAAGCCACAGACCTGTCCCAGCAAATCACTTGATTTTGTGCAATCTCGTCTCTATGAATACAGAGGTTTTCCATGTAGCGGAAGACGAATGTCTTTTTGTGACCAGTTCCCATTTGCTTTTCTTCTCTTCAATCATTTTTTAATTTTTCATAAATGTGCCACACAGTATATGAATCAAACAGTGTTTTAAACCATTAATTACCATTTGTGTGGCTGCAAATGGCTCTCTTTCCCATATTTTATAGATCAATAGCAGTTTTACAAACCTTAATTTTAGCTTTTCTATGATCTACTATTTACACCCAGTCTTTGAAGTCTTTATTTTTTTTTTTTACAACCAAAGCACTCAAAATGTACATTTTCCTGACATGTGTACCTTTGTTAGCAGGTAGAGGGCACTGCATATCTTGACTGAAGTGATTGCCAGTTTTTCATGGGCCAGGATGGTATAAATGGATTGCCAAAAAAAATCAAGTAACCAATAACACTCACACAATATGAGAAATAACCCAATAATAAAAGATACTGCACAGAAAATATTATATTTTGTTGAATGGCAACAAACATGATTTTCCATGACTTAGACCAAAAAATTATCAAATCCCCTGACTTTCTATATCTGAAATAGACTTGTTAAAAGATATTCCAGAAATACCATGACCAGTGAGATCCCTGACATAAGAGGATGGTGGACACTGACGTTTCTCCTACTTACGAGTCAGGCGGTGATCCTGGAGCACTCAGGCTCACCGAGTCCAGCTTCGCAGGTTTTCGGGTGGAATCGTATGCTGAGTCAGTGCCACGGGAAATGAGCTGGTTCAAGGAAGAGCCAGATCCAGCAGCCACAATACCATTGGTTACCGAGGAGGCCTTGTGGGCAACGGTGTCTATCAGACTGCCATCATCAGGCAGCAGGCCAGGAGAACAGGGGTGGCCCACTTCGTTCAGCTGAGTCAGTGACTGGCTGAGCTGCCGGCGGGCTGTCAGGCGTTTGTTCATCTTCCGGTATCTATGGATTGGAGACAAAAAAAATATACATCAAGGACAGCCTCAAGATGAAGGGCCTAACAATTCCCCTCCATGTTATAGTAAGCCACACTCACTTCTCCAGCTCGTCCTGAGAGTGGGCAAACGTACAGCTAGCACCTCGGGGACAGCCACCTTTCTGCTTCATATCCCGGCACATATATGTCTTATACTTGCTGTGTTGTGGAGGCTGCGGATAGGCAAGAAAGATTGGACATGCTGATCCACAGAGGATCCAAAAGGTCTGAGAACAACAACTGCCCTGCAGGAGAACCACTAACCTGCTGCTGCTCAGTGCCCTTCTTGCTGTGGTTCTGGATGAAATCTACCAAGCCATGGACCACGGTCTTTACTGCCACCAGGCCATTCTCCAGCTGATCCCAAGTGGGTGGGGGAGCATCTGGGAAAATACAACAAAGAAAAAGAAGAATTAATAAACCATGCCAGATTCCACTGCTGGTAAACAGCAAGTACGGTCTCAGAAAAATGTAGCTAAAAATTCCATGCGTGTTATTAGGTAGAATGTTAAAGTGACAGTTGGTGTTAGCCAGTATAAATCAGATTTAAGATTAAATAAAATGTAATTGTCCAGCACAAACAATTTTTTCCTTCTACCACTATACCCACATCACAAGAGATACAGTAACTTAGGTAACCGTTTATCACTGTGGTTTTAAAAAAAAATGCATATACCATGGCTCCAAACTGTAACATGGTCACATACTGCAACCATTTATTGAGTGTGCAAGTTAAAATTTCACTTGGTGAAAGTTTTTTTTTCCCTTCTTCACTGGCTCAATGCGTTTAACCTATCGTATAACCTATCGTGTTTCAAATCGCGTACATAAAATTATTTTGAGTATGTTAGTAAATGCACTTGTGCACTCAAATCCCAAGTTTAAGTACTGAAGCACACTGTTGGAGACTTGCACCTATTCTTACTAGTCATAGTGATATTGTAATGGTGTCGATAGACTTGGTCGCTAAAAAAAGGTACAGTAGCTTAAAAAGTGTGCTGTTCTGTTTTTCTAAATAAAGGTGTGATCAGGGACAAATTCATTCTTTTATTTCAATTTATTGTAACATTGCATTTGTCTTTTATGGCTATTATTAACTAAGCAGAAAAATGTAATTAATGAATGTATTTGAAGTCGCTTAAGTCCCGTCAGGTCTAAATTAGGGCCACTCAAATACAATGTGGAAAATTAAGATTATAACAACCAGGATGGATTAATCAACAAATGTTTCCTCTAGTCATTACAATATTAATAATTCACTGATTTTATTTTTAACATAAAATATTCTCAGTTAAATGTGCAGGGTGAGAAACGGTGAAAAAGGGTTTACTGAGGCAGGTGTACACCAGGTATACTTAAAAATCATTTTTATGGTTGTGCCGACAGACACACTGGTGGGGGTGGTGGATAGGGGGCCTGAGGGATTGAGATACTGGCTCTACATCCCGATGTTTGTCAGCCATCAGCAATGGATTAATGCATTGTCCGCCAGCCCAACCCTAGTCCTGAGACAGACACAAGTGATGATGTGAGGGCAGCTACAGAGAGGGAGACTGAGCCAGCAAAAAAGAAATAATACCACTTTCAACCTAAAAATAAGGGTGCAACTAAATGCTGGTGTGACCAACTAATAAAGTTGGGAGCCCAGTTCTACCACTGGAAAAATTAGTCTGGATCCCTGTATATTATTCAACTGAATCGCATTTAATTATTCACATTTATTTCATGAGAAAATAAACATCCATTTTATATGAACACATGTATATGTCATTTGAATATGCATAACATTTAGAAAGTTAAATCCCTGCACACTGTTGCACAGTGGTTCTCAAACTTTTTCTGTCATGCCCCCCTTTGGAAGCAGTTGACCTTTCATCTGCCATCCCTTGCCCCCCACCCCCCAATTGTACCCACCCTACCAGTACAATTTTTTTAAATAGGTAATATATATGTCCATGTTTTACTTCAAGTTTGTTTCACTGTCTGAAAGGAAAAAAAGCACTGTTTGCTAATGCTCCCACTTGAAAAACATATTTTTTATATAACTCAGAGCATTTGAGCAGAGCGATGTTGGAACGGAAGGATTTTGGCCAAAGCGGGAGCAAGCGTTGAGCGTCATATTTTGAAAAAGCTGGAGCATCCCTTTATCTCTCATTTCATCTTGCTCCACTTTCCCAGGGTTCCTGAATCTCATGAATCTCGCATGTCAGCAAATCTATGCTATTTAATTATAATCCTAAAATTAGCTGCATCAAAAGCATTGGGGGAGTTGGCAAACCCAACAATCTATTTTTAAGGTAACAATACTATTACATACATGTAAATGTGTGTGTATTGTCTCAAATTGAAAATCGCACGCCAGCCAACTAACTAAAGTTGGCAACCCGTTCAGATCTTGAAATAAATAATTTCTGCTTGAATGTGGATCTGGCTGCTCAGTTATTTTGATGCCAGGCTACAGTTAAAGATACAATTGAAATACAATGCAGAGTGCTTTTTTTTCTCTAGCGAGCAGTGAACAATTTCATTGGAGCAGGGTGAAAATTGACGAGGGGGGAGTGATAATGAGCGGAGTGGTCTGCAGTGGCTGTGAGCGGGGGAGCATACTGCACCATATGCGATAAGCGGAAATGGTCAATTCTCCATTTCGCTCACATGTTCTGGTTCTGCTAGACACACTCTCAAACTGGGATTTATGGTGCTGCACTGCATGGGAGGGCACACCCCAGAGTTTGACAATCGCTACTCTAGCCGTAAGTTAACAGCCTGTGAATGCTTTGTTTCCACGCACGCAGGGAGAAAAGACCTTCTTGTCATTTGTTTAATGAACAAACCAGGTATTTATTAAGCCCACCATGAGGGCCAAAACTTCCTTTCACCTATCATTAGCACTTCACAGAATTATCCCAACCTGGACTAGGGTCAATGTTGGCCAAGAGCTCTAGATGAGGTCTCAGTCGGTTGAGATTTGCAGGGTCCCCTGTCCTCTGCAGGGCGATGGTCAGCTCCTGCACACTCTGCGCAAATGACGCTGGAGTCTGCAGCTAAAGTAGGCATGCAACCATTATTAAACAGCCTTTCTACAGCTTTGACATGAGTATGTTGCTGTTTATTTCCTACTTGTTTGATTTCACCCTTTATCATTTAGAAACACATTATTCATGCATTGGAAATTAACAAAATTCCATATAGTCCACCTGCTGACATTCTACCACTATACCTCTGAAAGATAAATTTAAATTACTAGGCATAGTAATTACTAGTCTAAGTTTAATGGATCTGCTGAATGATCTCAGAACATTTTATGATTAATTCACGTGACTCAAATATTATACTAATCAGTAATTTATGTCTGGGAAGCTGGCTATATAGTATAATGGAAAACAGTCTGATAATACGTACCTTATCAATGATAGACTGCATGTGTGATTTGTGGGACTGATCCCCATAGAGCAAGGAGGACCACTGGTCAGGGGCGATGCGCAGACCCCCCTCCATTGCAATCTGCACAATCTGCGAGTCATGTTCTCGTCTCAGGGCCTCATATGTGCGGAACTCTTCTTTGAGTTGCATCAGAGATGAGTCCTCGTCTCGCTTTGTCACCTGACATCAGAAGAGATGTTTTCACAGGGGTCTGTTATCAAAGCTTAGTGTTACAACTGATATATTCTGGAAAGAAGAGAAATATACCTTAAAGCAAGAGGCCCGGTAAAGAAGCTGCACTACATGTCCGATACTAGTTTTAGATGCTTGGGGAAAACGGGGCTCCAGTCTCTGCACCACAAAGAGCACGAGGACTTTACGGGATAGAGCGGAACCGTCTTCAAGTGCTAGTAAGACCAGCTTCAAAGCCTCTTCCTGCATTGCTGAAAAAGGGAAGCAGAAGCCATATTTTAGTTCTTCCACCTTCAGCATTTGGGTTGAACCAGATTCTGTGCTGTCAGAAATGGCAGCATTGTATTCCCAGCCATCCATACTCGGCCCACACTCAGGAACTTGTACAATGAAAATTAATTTTTTTGATCCTCGATCGGATTGGAGCATTTTGGTTGGTACCACAAAAGTACCTAAGTTCGGTAAACAGCCCTAATAATATATTATAGCCATGTGTATTATGCATTATGAATGCTCTATAAAGTTTATCTACAACCCCTGGCATAAATTATGGAATCACCAGTCTTGGAGGATGTTCATTCAGTTGTTTTATTTTTTAGACAAAAAGCAGATCACAGACAAGACACAAAACTAAGTGAATTTCAAATGGCAACTTTCTAGCTTTAGAAAACATTAAAGGAAATCAAGAAAACAACTAGTTATTCAGTAAACGTCTCCTTTTTTAGACCAAGCAGAGGGAAATAATTATGGAATCATTCAATTCCAAGGAAAATAATATGGAATCACCCTG